AGCCTAAGAGGGGGAGGATGCAGTGAGCCAAGATTGCACCACTCCATTCCAGCCTGGGTGCCTGGGTGACAGAGTGAAACTGTCTTAAAAAAAAAAAAAAAAAAAAAAGCATGTAGAGTTTCTGCATGGCAACGAGGTAGTTTGGGAAGGATACGGATATTTGCTTACTCAGCATCCATAATCTTTCTGAGTCTCATGAAGATGCATTTGCCAATAGATTCATGAATTAAAAGGCTGAGTTATGTTCTACAGGCATAGTGGGTAAACACCAAGGGTTTTTAAACAAGGAGTGATTCTATTCTGTTTTTCTCTGCATATCAAAATTTCAGTAGTTCACAGCAACAACAGAAAAAAATTTTTTTTCTTACTCATGGGTCTGCTGTGCTTCACCTAACATCAACTGGACTTTCCTGAGCTCTATCGAGCTAGGGTATATTCCAAGCTTTGGGTTAAATTTAGGTTTGCTCCACAAGTCTTCATCTTTCTCCTAGAACCAGGAGTTATGCAATTCCTTAGCTCTTGCTATTCTTATGAGAGAGCATATGAACGCTTAAAAGATTAGAAGAACACAGGAGCACAGAGACCTCATCTCTAATTGCCACACTGATACTTTACACATTCTATTGGCCAGCATCAATGAGATTGTGAAGTAACTGCAGCCACAGTGAGACACAGTGTCGATCCCTTGGCAAAGGACATAGGGGCATAATTCTAATACAGTAAGAGAACGAAGAATTGGAATAAACAATTCAATCGACTTGAGTGACATTGTTAGATATGTTCCTAAAAAAATAGCTGTCAGCTGAAGGTGAGAGGGGTAAAGATGTTAGCTGATGCAAACCTTTTCTTAAACAAGATAAAGAAGGAAGGAAATCGGCGAAGTAGGAAGAAAAGAGAGAGAAGAGATTTGATTGGAAGCTGAAAAGATTAGCAGCCAATGACAGAATATTACACAATTTCAAAATAAGCATGAGTCTAATTTGGGGTAATAGGGAGAAAAGAGAACTAACAGTTATTATTGAATAGCTATTATATTCAAATCACTGTGCTAGTCAATTTATATCCCCTATTTCATATAATCTTTACAACAACACTTGGAGTAGGTATTATTATGCATATTCTAAAAAAGAGAAAACAGGTTCAAAGAGTAACTTGCCAAAGATCAACCAACAAATACATAGCACTGCTGAGAATGTCATATTCCAAAGTCCATTTTGGAAGAAGAGAAGTAAATTGAGAGTCACCTTAGAAATCAAATTGATAGAACATGTTGGCCTAATTAGGTATGACAGTAAACAGAAAGAGGAAAGTAAGACAACTCCCAAGCTTCTACTTGGCAATGGAGTAAGAGTTGCCCATTAACTGAAACGAAAAGAAAAGAGAAAGCCTGTTTTTGAGCTGAAGGAGTTAAATTTGTTTTTTACTTCCGTTGGTGGCACCTATAGAACATTTATGTGAGATGTCCTACAATGGTTAGAAATTTTCATCTCAGAGCTCAAGAAGAGAAGCCAGTTCTGAAGAAATCACTCCAGAAGTAGGGACAAAAACATTCTAAGCATGGGAAGTTATATTAGCAAAGATATGACTGTGTCTTATACGGTTCATTTCAGGGAATGGCTAGCAATTTAATGTACTGTTTAGACATACACATGTCTAGTTACATTTATTTGCTACACAAAGCAGAGGAATGGGAGATTAGGCTGATCTCAGTTGGCCTTGAATGCTGGAATAGGACATTTGGACTTTTCTCAAGAAGAGCCATTACAGTGTACCCTTTTATACAAGGGTCCACTTAAGGGTCTGGTTTTTAGGAAGACTAATGTAGTAGCAAGGTACAAGATGGACCAAAGGTGGGAGGCCATGTAGAAGGCTATTGCATTAGTTTTTGTAAGCACTAACAAGAACCTAAACAGGGTAATGGCAGTAGGAACAGAAATAAAGGAACAGATGGGATCATTGCTTTGGAAGAAATGATTGTGCAGCACAGTAACTATTCTGCATATCATTAAATATGTGTCAAGTTAATTTCGTAACTGCGTTTGGCTCTACTGGTTTCCTCTCTTCAGGTATGCAGAACCGTCATAATTTATTGGTCATCTGTTCACATATTTTAATTAAGAGCTATAATCTCCATGAGGCAGAGACTATGACTGTTTTGTTCTCTACTATTTCCACAACATTCATCAGAATAGGCATTGATTACATATTTATTTAATGAGTCGATGGATGAATACTGCCCTGCACACCTTAGCATCCCCATTTCCAAGGTCTCTTCAGTTGTGCCCTCTACCCTGTTCCCTGTCTTTCATCCTCCCACCAAACATTTTTCTCCCTCCTGGGATAACTTGCCTTACAGGAGTAATCAGACTACTGAGCAGCCTGCATTCAATGCAGTCCTGATATGATGGTGGTGGTTTTACTTTTTTTATTTTTCAGTCATTCAGCCAAGCTCAACTGACCCTCTCTTTGCTATTTACAAGCATCATCTCACACATATCCAATAACTTTCCAACCATTTAAGATATTGACACCTCAGTTCCAATTCATTTGAAACCTCCAGTTTTATTTTCTTCACCACCTCCCTCCTCCCCCAAGTTTAGACTTTTCCCCAAGGGACTGGCACTTTTCTGATTCTAAATTTTCTGGCATTGGGACAAGAAAGGGGGGATTGGAGGAACAAGCAAACATCTTTATATTTACCTAGATTTTCTTTGTAGTCCTGTCGGGGGTTCCCTGAGTCTTTGGCTAACAGTGACCATCAACACCCTCTGTGTGGCAGATGGCCACTAATTACTTCTTCAATAGAGTGATGTGTGAGTGCTTGGGGGTAACCTGTGGGAACCCCACTGCACAGTTCTCTGGTATGAGACCACTAACTTTGACCCAAATCCAGTCAACAAGGCTCCCTAAGCTTGTCCCCAGTATCTGCTGCTGGGGTGGTCGACTCTATGGATGGACTAACAGCAAGACCTCCGTACTAGGCAATTAACTTCAACCTTAGTGTCTCTCTCTTTCTTCCCTTTTTTCCATTTCTTTCTTATTTCATGTCAACTGGGGTAGTCAGGGAGATTCCTGGGGCTAGAGTGATTATTTAGGTTAACAGGGTCAGTTCAACCACCTTTTAACAAGGCCTGGAGAATGTACCCAGCCCCAATATTTTTGTTCTCTACAGAATATGAAGGTACTGAATACCTATGAGTGTCCTTTTGGGATCCTTGCCTCCAATTTTATACATACACAACATCTGGGTATTTGTGAATGTCACTAACATTCATTCTGCAAATGCTGAGATGTCATTTATATTTGTAGTACCACGTAATAAGCACAGAGTTAAGTGTTACATGAACAAAGATTTAATGAGAAGCTGAAATGAGTCCATGTAAAAGTGAAGTACAAAAGTCTGACCAGGTTCAAACTCTAATGCAAATAATAAGTTTCACTATAACTTTAAAATAGAGAACATTTAGGTCAAGTGCAGTGGCTCACGCCTGTAATCCCAGCACTTTGGGAGGCCAGGGTGGGCCAGTCACATGAGGTCAAGAGTTCAAGACCAGCCAGGCCAACATGGTGAAATTCTGTCTCTTAGTAGAGACAAATTCAGAAATTAAGCAGGCATGGTGGCACTCCCCTATAGTTCCAGGTACTCAAGAAGCTAAGGCACAAGAATTGCTTGAACCCGGGAGATGGAGGTTGAAGTGAGCTGAGATTGCACCACTGCACTCCAGCCTGGGCAACAGAGCAAGACTCCATCTCAAAAAAACAAAATAAAATAGAGAACATTTAAACTTTGAAATGGAAACTAGACTGGGGAGCAGAACAACAGGAAAGGAGGAAGAGTAACTTAAAAATGAGGGAGTAAGGAGAATCTCAAAAATGAGAGCCGTGCATAATGACAGAAAGCTTAACATGTTTAAGATTAAAATCTGAATCCCTGATGCCCAGACTAATCTTATCTCTGCTCGTAAATCAGAATCATATGTATTTCCATTAATATTTATCTGTTTGAAAAGGAAGAGGAAAATCTATGTTGTGTTGTGCCCAGCATTGCTGTTTCCATCATGAGTTTTACCAAAGGCGCCCATCAGGTTGATGAGGTGCCAGCTGTCCTTAATAACGGAAGTATTAGATATACGGTGAGGCATGCAAAGCAGCCCAAGTTTTAGAAGTGAGTCACTTCGAAAACCAAGAACCACAAATTCAGCTACAATTTCAAATAAAAGCTCAAGGACCAGAATAATTCATACAAAATTTTAAACCCAGAAGTTCCTCTTGCTTAAATTACTTTCACACTCCAATTTAAACTCAGAAACATTATGTTGCTGTCACATTTCTTTGTTCTCCTAAAGTATTTTTTTAAAATCTGTATATAGCTGACAAAAAATAGACGCCTGTCTGCCAGCAAGTTCTCTATTCATGTCTAACATACTGTAGAGTCGATGCAGAACACATGGTCTTAAAATACCCAAAGGCCTCTCCTTTACTGGTTCACGGCAGCAGTATGTTTCTCCAGCATGTTTGCTCTACCTCCAATACATGTCTTGCATAAGCATGAATTCCCTTTGAATGTTTAAGTCATGCTGTGTTTTCACATGCTTTGATGATGTGCATTTGAGAATTATCATCTACATGTTCAAAGTGCACTTCCTGGTGCCTTCGGCATTGAATTTAATACTATTCAACTAACATCATTTTGAATTCCACCCGACAGAATGCCAATAATGTCTAGGACAGAAGTTTGACATGTTTAGTTCTTCCAAATATAGAGATAATCTAGCAGCTAAATTGGAAATTTCTGGGTATATTTTGAAAACTAATTCAGCGTGAAAATTATTAATGATTTAGAATTGTGAAAATACATCAGAAAGTGTTTTCTTTTTCCTTATTTCCTTCTCCAGAAAGATCTGTTCTTCTTATCAAGTAAATTTTCAAAGGGAAATCTGCCTTCTGTTGTTAGGACAAAAGTATACAGTTTAATCCTAATATAATTTTCTTCATTACAGATGAGACCCATTGGGCATGATGGCTACCATCCCACCTCTGTAGCTGAGTGGCTGGATTCTATTGAACTGGGTGACTACACCAAAGCCTTTCTAATTAATGGCTACACATCGATGGACCTGTTGAAAAAAATCTGGGAGGTTGAACTTATTAATGTAAGTTGGTCTCTTAGTCACACCTTAGCCATTCAACCCTTGATAAGTGAAATTTTATTTTTCTTGATTTATAACTGTTTGGATATCTAACAGGGATTTATAGATACACCTTCTGTTTGAGATGTCAATCTTTCTCAAGCTCCAGCCATTAACTTTTGAAGTTTTGATGTGGGGGAACTAAGAGGGAAGAGAGAACTCTCAGGGTGTTTTGCGTTATCCAAGAAAATCTTCCAAGCATTTTCATGTTTTCCTTTTTAGGAAATTTTTTTCAATTATAGGATATAGATATGATAATAAATACGTTCCTATTCTGATCTTTGTTCATATTCACTGTTAAAGATTTAAATTATCATTTTTTAGTTTTCCATTGCTATCATGTTTCCTTGTCTCCATTTCTTAGTCACATATACAAATCCCACGCTCCAAGAGACTGCTTTTATTCTTACTAAACAGGCTGCTGTGTTATCAAAATTTTATTTTCTGAAGCTAGTGTCTAATCTTATGTTGTCTCTGTTTTATTTATACACTTAGCATATATTTCCTATGAAAACTGGCCAACATATGTTGCCATATAGTCAAGCCCAAAGAGATCAACTAAATCTGCATAAATGATTTTGATACTCTTCTCATTGCATTTTTACTTTTGTTATTTTCTAGCATAAATGAAGGAATTAGATAAAAACATAACATGAAATGGTCATGCATTTTAATTATATTTGGCATTATAAACATTCCTTTTTAACAGTGACAATGAGAAATCACTTAACTTTTTTTTTGAAGGTTTTAGTTTTATAGTAAATTATTGAGTGAAAATGGCATTCCTGAACTAAAAGATAAAGTAAATAAGTTTCTGCTGGTTCAAAAGTGCTCTGTTCTACTCTTTATGTCACTTTCCCCCCGAAAGTCCAGGTTCTACACATTACATGCCATTGCTTATTTTAAATGATGGTTATTATTAGTAACTAATTATTCCTTGCTTTTAAAAGTCTTTCTGAAAAAAGAATGTCTTTTCTAGAACATCATACCGAAATTGTTCTTGAATCTAAAAGTCACATTAAATAGACAAATTAATGTGATTCCATTGCCATAAGCAACTTTTTCTTAACTTTTTGTTTCTTATGCCCTCACAAGAGCTATCATTATTTCAGAAGAAACTCATTGTGTAACAAAGCCTTGGGTTAGTTACATTCAGTGTGTGTGGCAGTGGAACTGACTGAAACCGTATTGCTTGTTGGTTGCATCAGGCTAAGATTTCAATTCTCTGTCAAGAACTTGACACTCATCACATGGCTACTCATAGATATTTGTTAAAGGGCTACCTTCTTCCATAGATCAACCAAACAAGCTTCCAACTTAAGTTGCATCTCAGTTAATGAATTAATGTAATAGCTTGAAAAAATATTCCTATGTAACATTTTCTGAATCACATTGCTATTCACTGAAGAATTAATATTTATAATAGGTAGCACATGAATCACTCACCTAGCTAGTATTAACAGTAATCTCCCATTGTAAAGAATGGATTTCAATAGGACTCTATTATGTGTTTTCATTGAAGCAAGGATCATTTACAACATCAGGCTCTATGTCTCTCAAAATCCAAATGCCTGAACTAGTGTTTAAGATGTAGGCTTGGGCACTCACTTTACCCAATGCTGGGGGTACCTGTGTTCCAGAGATCTTTGTTTAGTGACTGCAGCCAGACCTTGTAGACAGCTGCGTGACTATGGGGATGATGGCCCCATGCTCTACTGCCAGGGCTTAGGGACTGATCCACCGCCACCCGTACGGCCAATCAGCTTTGAGTTGAGACAGAAAATTGGTCTTTTCCACCCATGTTGGCTCTTAATGGTTTTCTGACATCAATACAGGGAGAAGTGCCTGTCACAAGCATTGTATCAAATTTGAAAACATAGTCACTGTCTCTTAGACCTTGAGGCCAAAATCCTCTGGCCTGGAGCATGCCATCTGCATCTACCACTAACTCGATACATTTGCCTTAAAGTAAACTGATTGAATTTAATTTTCCTTGTGACAACTTTTATGGGCAAGTTCACACTCTTGATGGTGAGGTTGTATAAGTCATTTAGCTCAGCATATTAATTATGTCCATGTTAATTATGGTCAAAATTGATCTGAACCTTTAGATTTGGAAATCAGAAAACAAAATTTGTATGCCCAGTAGAATTGGGTAGTTTATGTGATGGTTCTCAGTTACTGGGTTTTAAAATGAGAAAAAGGAAAAATGTGTGCATGCCTTTTGGCTTACAAAGTATTGCATTACAAAGAATTATCTCAAATTCAAGATTTTTGTTTATCCCAACTAATGAGAGAGGTACCGAGATATGAGGTCGTCTTATATGATATATGGGTCAAATAATCCTATACTAAGAATGCACAATTCGTTGTTTTCTAGCCTGAAAGGGAATGTACCATCACCTTGACTTAGAGCAAAGCCTTTTAGGGAAGTTCACATCCTGAATGAGTGGCTAGTTTTAAGGCAACCAGATTGCTCCAGTAATTGTTGTTCTACGTCAAGTGAAAAGAGAAGTGTAAATGTAGCCTGCTTTGATATTAAAGTCTGCTGGTGGAGGGGAACAGAATGGAGGATGAGGAGATAGACTGCAGATATGATTACAAATAACTTCAGCATCAGTGGTTGTCCTTTAAATACCTTTGGGTAGCAGTAAATAAGATCGCTAAGGTAGCAATACCCACGTGTGTCCCATGAAAATTATTTCACGTGCCAATGAAAATAATCAGGTATTATTTTTGTAAAAGCAAATTGATTAGAAGATCATTTGCTTCTTGCCTAATAGCTTCGGAAACTGTATTTACATTACAGTTTCATTTAGGACTGTCAGATTTTTTTTCTTTCGATGATGTTGACTTAATTTCTAGCTTTCCTGGGAAATTTTATAATAATCTAACCACTTGAAGATGTGCTAAGAAATGTTCAAAGGAAACCTTCTAATTTGGCATTAATTCTTGAGTAATGTTATTTTATTTGCTTTAAATGCAGTAGAGCTATCATCCTATGAGTATCAGATTTAGACTCATTACCTACTTTGATGTTTTATTTCATGATCAGCATTATAAACTCACACTTCTATCTATACCACTCTCATTGCTAAAATTGCAATTAATTTTATTTCCTAATTTTTTTGCATTCTGTGTGTGTGTGCACGTACATATTGGATAAAGGTAAATGGTAACTTATGCTCATAACCAAGAAGAATAATTAGTAAATTTACAAATTGCAGGGGAGGAATGGGGAGGATGAATGCTTTAATTCCATTTTCAAACCAATTATTTTAAGTAAAAGGTTATGCTTTCACCATGGGACATAATAAATGAAAAATATTCATATTTCCACACCAGGGAGGCTATGTCAGTCAATACTTCAAATATTAACAACTTTAATCAAAGCCAAAGGCTTCAACTAAATGACTAGATGTGAGTATTCAAGTGTAGAGCAAACTTTATAAATCATCTACGGATTTAAGCACTGCATTTATACCTATTTGCAGTACAGATGGCTCCTCGCAAGCTTCAGGACAGCTAGATACCACCTCTGAGCTTTAGACTTTTCCAGGCATATACAGGTAAAGCCCCTGGCCTCTACCAACTCCACCCCCTGCATCTAAATTTCAAGCTGTTCCAGGGATTCTCTGGAAGCTTCCCTCACCTGGCCCAAGTTTTTAGAGACGCACCCTGACATATGTCCTCATATAGCATGAACAATCTCCCAAATAAATATACACTTTCCATTGATCTCTAGCCCTTTCATATATTTCCTGGAGGGCAGTGATAGGCCAGGTCTGACATTCTTATTTCTACTACCTTTCAGCATCTTTTGCATGTCCACACTTACTATACTACTCTCAACTTTGGAGCCTTGACCCAAACTGAGATTGAATTATACTACAATAAAATGCATTTAATCACTAAAACGCCATTGGAAGTAATACAGCTTTTCTTTTGCACGTAAAGTAAATTTACACTCTTGCAGTGCCTCCAGATCAATATTATGGAACAGGCATTATTAAAATGTTGATACCAGAAATAGTAAAACAGATACACACACACACACACACACACACACACACACACACACAAAATAAACAAGGCAACAAGGCATTTTGGCCTGAAGAGACAGTTTTAAATACTCAGCAGCAAATTAACTTCAGAAAGAAATGAAACTCTCTGATTATAGCCATTTATGATCTATCTCTGTGCAGAAAGGAAAATTGTATTCTAATTACCCAGAAATTGCTACCTTAAAAATTTTTATTTTAGTGGACATCTGTTCATTCACCTCTCTCCTGATTAAAATTAAAACATTGCAAATTTTCTCTGAAGAAGGTACCTCCATCTCTTCCCTATTCCATGCCTGAACATATGGCCTGGATCCTCAGAGTCAACCTCAACATTCCAGCCCCTGCCTCCACCTCTATGGGCCACAAAGTATTCTTCATCATGACCAGCTACCAGTGCAAAATGAAAACATAGGGTCCCTTCTTCAAAAAGAATTAAAAATTTTAAGCCAGTAACATCAAAACATCAAAGCTAGCACAAGGCCCTTCTATGTGCAGGACTTTGCGTAACCACATAGGTCACACACCCTTGAAGGCAACCAAGCTCTTCATTCCTTTGTGTAGATCCATATTTCCATCTGGTATCATTTTCCTTCTTCCTGAAGGACTGTCTTTGGCATTATTCTATAGTGGGAGGCTGCTAGTGATGAATTTTCACAGCTTTTGTGTATCTGAAAAATACTTCATTGTTTTGCTGGGTATAGAATTTTAAGGTAACAGTACTTTAAAGATAACTTCTCTTCTGCATTATTTCTAACAAGAAACCTGCTGCCATTTTGTTGTTCCTCTGAACATAACAGGTCAGTTTCCCCCCACCCTGGCTATACTTAGGATGTTGTCTTTTTTGCTGGTTTTCAGCAATTTAATTATTACATACATAGGTATCATTTTTTCATGTTTTCT